CAACACTCCCAAATCCTTTAATAGGCTCTCTGTCGATGCCCAAGTGGCAAACATCTAAATCTCAACATGTCACATCTGGGCTCGGACTCTTTGTCTCAGCAACCATCGTCTCGGCATCGGACCGCATGCCACACACTTGTCGCTAGTTCTGCAGGGACGTTCAAGGGTGCATGTATGTGCGGATGCATGTAGGCATGAGTGAGTGATTATCCAGTCTTGATATGGTCAGTCACTTTGTGATTTCTTCAGCCGTCACTAATCTCAAAAGTCGTTATTGCCGAATCTCCTGTCTGAGTTTGCATCGCTTCAAACGAAACCACTTCTTTGAACCCTTCAATTTGCTTCGCTTCGTGCCAAGACTATCCATCTTGGGGTACATGCCATAATTCTGTAGTGATTTTCTTCTCGATTGTCAATCCCGTGTAAATAGCATTTCCTTCCATTGACCATAACCAACACCTCAATTTGGTAAGTTCTACCATGATTGCTCTGCGCTACGCCCCCTATCATCCTAAAGACTTCTCCACCGTTTGTGTGGCCCATGAAAACTCTTTTGTCTAGAAATTCAAACTTCATCTCTCCCTCCGTAAAAAACTTCCCAAGACCACACCCACTAACATCGTTGGTTGGGGTGTGTATAATAAGACAAACGCCTGATATGCCGCGAATCCTTGCTGAGAAGCCTGATGTATCCGAGTTGTAAAAACGTATATACAAAGAACGACGCAAAGTCGTCGCTCCGAAATATGGGTATTATTAAACGTAAAATGTTGCGTATATGTATCCGTCGAGTGTGAGTATGTCTGCCATTGGCTAGGAGCAGCCCCATGTCGTATTCGAATTATCTCTTGTCGATATCTCCAGCATGTGACGTGGCTCATTGTCGGTGGGCCTCTTCAGGTTTGGGACGGATAGATCTTGCCTCAAGTTGCCGTTTTCTCTCAAGCTTGGCGTAATGCAGTCCACATGCGTTGCACAGTGTCCTGGCGCCGTCGGGTCCACGTCGCCATTCCGGAGTATCGATTCGGTTGCAGCTATGGCATCTTCCTGGGGGAGCAGCGCGCTGCATTTTGTCAGCTTCTGTTATATCGCGTTTTGGATCAATCTGACTTACTCCTCGTCTCTTTTTAACTTCTGTAATGCCGTATTGTGGCTTCATTCCATCGCCATACATGTTAACATCGTGTTCTTCCTCGTAAGGACCCTTCATCTTGGCTCCTTCTCGAGCTCGCTCGTTCTGAATTGAGGTTTGTACCAGGTCTCGCACTTGTTCCAAAGAGCGTTTGACAAGTTCAATGTTACTAAGCATATCGCTGACTTCGCGTTCTGTAGGTAGTCGAGCTGGAATAGGGTGAGCGCCGTGCTGCTCTTGAGCGATTCTGCTATACGCTTCGGCAAAATTGAAGATGGTACGAGATGACGAGCCAATCTAGACAAAGTCAGTAATGACCAGCATTGGTTCAAAGTGGATAAGTACTCACTCGGCTCAACGAGTCTTGATAGCTCCAGCTCTCAAAGTGCCTGTCAACTGTAGCTTCATACCTAGCTCGAGCATATTCAGACTCCTCTGCGTGTGGTGGAGGTGCTCGGGGGTCGTATGGCCCAGAGGCGGGCGGTGGCATTGCGTGTCTTGGGGAAATAGGATACGCAGGGAGAGGCATCTGCCCAGGAGGCAATTGACCAGGCTGGTATGCGACAGGGGCCGGAGGAGGCGGTGGCGGCGGAGGATGCGAATAGACGCCATTCAGAGGGTGATGAGGTTCCGGATGCTTTTGCTCGAGGTGGTGATGCTGGGGAGGCAGATCAGGCTTGATCGGAGGGCTCTGACGACGATCAGAGACGGGAGGAAGTGATGGACGACTGCTGAAGTGTGGGCGGGGTGAGTCCGAGAACGCAGGCAGGCCATCTTGTCGAGGAAAAGCTGAGGTCGGGTGAAGAGGCTGAGGAGAGGAACGTTTCTCAGTTTCGGGGAAAGATCGAGGAGCCGGGGCAAAGGGCGATGGCAGAGTCGGGGTAGACTGGAGACCAGGTGCGTGTGCGACAGGATATGGTCCAGGCTTGGTGCCCTGAATGACTTCCGAGATAGACGGAAGCGATTGACGGTTTGGCGGCTCTTGATCGTCTGCTTGTTTTCGAGGTTCAACGGAAGAAATCATGTTGGATATGCTGGCGGCACCCGAGTTCGATTGAGAATAGCTTGGGAAAGGCGGTTGAGCTGGATAATGGGCTGACGGAGCGATGAGCGTTGCCGTTGCCATGGCGGGAGGTTCTCGGTATGACGACCTGTCGAGAATATCCCGCGAGTAGGAATGATGACGACGATGATCTGAATATGGCTGATCGGGTTGAGATGGACGGTGGAGTTGATGTTCTGAATTGGTAGCAGAGTGACGGCTGTAAGAGTAAAAAAAAGGTGTTAGTTAATATGGGAGGGGCAGACAGAAATATAATATTGAAGTTGGGATTCAAACGGACCTTTGCCTGGCTCCAGAGTCAGCCGCTTCCATAGCGGATCTGGTAATTACTAACAATGACTTGGGACAGTTTTAAGGCCGTAGATGCATCTGACCTGGCTAGATCCGGCTGGGGGGTGGTTTGATGGGCGAAAGAAAACAGTAGCACTGAATAACGGGGAGGGGGTGGTAAAGAACGAGCTGCTGGTGCTAGGGGAAGTAAAAAAGCTAGGAATGGGGTCGACACGGGACTAGGATAACAGATGTGACAATGGGCTCAGGTGAGGATTGGCAATGGGGTGTCAAAACGGGGAGGGGGGACCGATGAGGCGAAATGAACAGAAGCGAAGAAGAAAAGAAACAAATAATACTAGACCAGACCAGGTCAGGGGGGGTGAGTAGATCTGGCGTGCGATGGACAAGCGACAAGGTCCCTCGTGGTGGCGCTGAGCGGGACAGTGGCAGGGGGGTTCCGCCTACTTAGGTCCTGTCCTGGTCGGGATTGGATTTGTTCTGGCGGACACACAGGGGCCGCAAGACTGGGGCTTGCTTGGGTTGGGTTATTCGAAGGCTGGCTGCTGACAGAGCGCCAAATACCAAGAACTCTCAAGATGGAAGAACCAGTTTGATTGATTGATCGATCAATTGCTGCTGTTCGTCTTTTGGGACACAAGGCAAGTGTGAAGAGTAGCGCAAACTCAACAGGCGAGCGACTGCCGCGGAATTGGTCCAATGCCCGGGGTCTGGGGACGTAGCACGTAGGTTAGCCCAAGACAGCTCAGAGCAGCCAACGAAAGAATCGGGCGGGTGGAGCTCAGAATCGCGGCACTGGATTGCACCTGTCGGCAACAAAGTCGGAGCTAGCAAATGTGACTGCTGGAAATCCTGAGGTAGATGATGCCTTTGGTGGTGGAGGGATTTGCTCGGCAAGACGTGGACAACACCTGGCGCGCGCGGCGCGAAGCTGAGGGTCGGAATGTTACAAGGTCGGTTGACCAGAACCTGTACCGACGATGACTCGAGTGCTGGCGCTATTGTTGATTGACGACGTCGGTATTTCGAATTGACTTTTGGTGATCACTTTGCTGTTTCCCTCTCCTTCTCTCTGGTCTCTCACAAGTTGCGCAGGATTCTAGTCGAGTAAAGACTAGACTGGGATGGGTTGACCAGCAAGGGATAGTGCAATTATAACGTATTGCACACAGACACGGAGCCGGGCAGCGCGGCCACTAGAATGGCGGGCAAGGACAAATCCTGCTGCTGCTGCGGACGGCGGTGTCTCTGCAGGCGCTTGAGTCAGCGCGGGGGGTCACTGAAAGGAAGGTACGGGACAAATCGACCAAGGTGGATAAATAAAAAGGTTGAAAGATGAGAGAGAGATTCGAAGATCGAGGTCAGGGGAAAGAAGTCGGTTATCTCTTTGTTGCTGCGGAAATGTGGAGGTGCGAGAAAGACAGATAGAAAGAGGGAGAGAACAGAAGAGAAGGGCAGCGGAAAGAGGAAGGAAGGAATATTGCGCAGTTACAAGCTACGAGGCAGGCCTGGTAGGTAGGCAAGGCAAAGCAAGGTGAATCAAGGTATAGTTAGAACGGAAGGACCTGCGATGTGACAGAAGCAACCCAAGCAGTACAACCACCTAAAAATCACCAACTGAGTTACAGTGCATCACGCTACGAGGAACCAGATGTGAGATCAACACCTCAATTAGTCGTCCTTTCTATTATGCCCACTAATTAATACACATACATACGTGCATGCTATCGAGATACTGTAGCAGACAGACAGACAAGCAAACAAGTCATAATAACCTACAACCAGTATCTAACTGTCTTGGTAAGTACCTACCAATGCAGTCCTCTTCAACGTCTCTTTGTTTCAACACCTATTGAAGCAAAGCATAGGCATGTTGAAAAAGCGCAACCTCCAGCGTGGACACTAACAAAAGGATCGTCCGGTACATGCTGAACCACCGACGCGGTTGTTTGTCAGTGATCCATCCAGATTAATCAGTCTAACGCGACTATAGTTCCATTTATCGAGTCAGCAATATTCCTCATGAATTGATCGATGCCCTTTTACCGTCGAACACACAAAGCCTTCTGATAAAGAACTGTTTGAAGGGTCGGATACTGGCAATCTTATCCCAAAAACGATAACCTTTACGAGACATCCAACGTCACAGACAAGTCAATCAGCAAGCGCGACTTTTAGCAAGTATTCTTGACCCCGTCCATACGGCGTTAGGTCGCGACGCCTGGGGGAAACGGTCACGGATAGAGATACCGCCCGTGCTACAAGGATTTCAAGGTTCGCTCCCACTGGCTAGGGGACACGACTGCAGGACGGTCTACGATACGGTATAAGTGGAGAAGGGGGACGGTAGGGATCCGAAGAAAATCGATCATGGATGGGTGGGCCATCTGGGAGCAAACAAGGATGAGTGGCCTTGAGGTTGACCAGGGGAAAAGACTGAGAACCCCATGTTGCTCTAGGGCTGTGGCATCTCATCTCTGGCAAGCAAGATCTTAGGGGACGCGCATCTCTATGCTATTCGTCATTAGTGTAAAAGCATGCCTTGGAACCTGATGCGTATCCGCAGTCTTTTACCCTAACATTCCTCCCTAGGTATTTTGGTGCCAGAAAAATACTAGAGGAGGAGAAGCCGGAGAAAAAGCGAGACAATGATGCACTCTTCACTACCGTTGCTTCAAACACCGACCTTGTCATGTTCTGCACCAATGGCTGGGGCATGACGATGGTCTGGCTCAGTAGCGGTTAGGCTTTGGAGATCTCCAATCTCAACTTTTGGAAAATGGTACGACTTCTGGGGGGCCCTGCTCCATGGGGTCAGCAGCGGTCTGGCTTGAGTACCTAGTCGACAAGTAGTACGTCCCGAAAGGCACCCCTGAACCACCCCCAATACTTGACTGGGAACTGACGGGTTTTTCTGATGCTGCCGCAAGAGCACGAGCCACCTTAACTCGGTTCCGTTGTTGTTGGCAAGCACATGTACATAGTGATACGCGGTGGTAAGCGCAACACAGTGGATGGGTGCTTTATGAGTGTCGAGCTAACGTTGTAGTAAGGGCCGGGCGGAACATGGGGCAGTATTCCAATATAATATCGTTGGTTTTGGATGTTGACGTTGCAGCACTTCTCACTGGTGTTGGACATGAACAATTTGGGTAGCAAAATGGTCTCTCATCGACATGTCGCATTTCGATCCGGTACAGGTCGGGTTCCCTGTCGACTGTCTCTGTAGGTATTGAACAGTGCAGTTGCATCGCTTGTCTAGCTTGTCCCCTGTAATGGAACAGAGGGCATGAGGGCCAGGAGTGCATGCTAGCTCAAGGCGAATAGGGGCAAAATGACGGGAAACATTACTTATGACGGCTCACAAGGGAGATGAATGAGATTGACGCGAAAAGAGGTGGGAACACAGGTTTCCAAGGCTGGAGCTAATAAAACTCCAGAAATCAGGATCCGGCACTTATTACGTTGAGCAAACCCACGGATCAAGATGAACATCCTGACCACAAATGGCTTGCCTATTGTGAGCCACAACAACGAACAAAGAGTTTTAGGAGAGATGGGCTGCTTTCCAGATGCAGAATACAGATTGGGTCGGTCCCGATGGATGTGCGGCACCGCAGCCAGGTACGTCAGTGGGCAAGGACCAGGCTACAAGCAGTTACAAGCCCACCTCTCTGCGAAGGTACAGACGGGCATTCAACTTGCCATAAAGTACTTAGCTTTCTGGAGCTGCCTAGCAGTTGACACTCTATTTGAGCTTCAGCACGTGTGGCCCGCAGGTCCCTGGGTAAGAAACCCAATTCGAACGGTCCCCCGCGGCTCCCTTCCCGCAGGGATGGTTCATCAGCCACCACGCGAAATCGTTGACTGGCGCCGCGCTGGCGGGTTGTCCATTCACATCGGCAGCAGTGCAGAGATGACCCGCGGACCTAATCTCTCGAGATCAGACACGCCCTTGCTTAGTGCGCCGCCATGGACGTGTGTGGTGCACAAGTTCGCCACTCTGTTCATACTGACGAGCCAAAAATGAGATGAGATGAGATGAGATGAGATGAAGATGCGTAGATAAGATACGTAGCGCTATACGGGTTCCAGTAGGTTACGTCTCGTTTGACTGGTCAATGTATGTTGGGTAAAGACAGTCAATTGTTTGGTTCCTTGGTCTAGGTTGTTTTAGCCGATGGTCAATCGTAGATGGTTTTTGACCAGCCAAGGATGTTCCATGACATGGATATCTCGCCGGCGAAACAAGCCAAGCCAAGCCAAAGCAGATGTTGATAGGTTATTGCTCGAGCTGTGGGCGAATGATCTGGTGATGGCTTCCATCGATCGACCTTCCTCCCTTGGGGTTTGACATGGCGAAAACCACCTGGCTGACAATAAGGCCTCGTCGGCCCATGCGTCGAAGGAAGCGATACACGGTATGCCAAGTACAATATCTACAGTGTTATCCCAGTGGTCCGATTGATTTGGCATCACCAGCATTATCCTGGCGTGTAATCGCCCAATTTCAGTTGTTAGAACAAGGTTTCCCATTCCCACTGGGCTTCCAGAACGATGCATGAAGGAGGCAAGGGCATGCACATCCTTGGTCACTCTATCTTTCACATTCTACTGCGATAGGCGACGATTCCATTTCGACGTGCTTCTCCTGTTCTGATACAGTTCATCTCGTAATCGGGACATTAACGATCAGCATAAGGTTGGGTGGTTCGCATAGCCAGTAAATTAATTACTACGTGCATGTCTCAGAATAACATGGATAGGGTGTCAAATAGCTCTTGCAGTTTTACGCTAGAAGCCCTGACTGGTGCACCGGCATTTTCTAGACGTGGATGGGTTTTTCGATGCAATCTTGTCCGTCAGGGTGCGTCACATGGAAGAGCAGATGATTCTCGTAGTGGCATGGGTCTCCCTGGTTGCTGGCTGGATCTCCTTCATCTGGCCTTTTGTTTGAATCTCGTTTGAAGATATTAATTACTGTTTCCAGTCGGTTGGGATGGAACATCCATCGGCTGTGCCGCCAGTGAGAGAGACATGTCAAGTCATGACATGAGCTTAGCTAACAAGGACCAGGGCTCCGTGCTTTGATGAAGGCTTCTCCCTTCCTGGACAGTTCTTTGCCTTTAACCCTAGCGAAAACGGTCATGCTGTGCAACTTGATGTTGTGTGACCATGCAGTGGCAGAGGAGTTTTGTTTGTTTTTGAACTAATTACCTGTCGATCTTGGGAAAGGTATCGTTTGGTCATGATTTTGTCTAACCATTATTGTGCCTTGGTGAGACATGGACTGGACTGGACTGAACTGGTTACTGTATCCCGTCTGTCTCCTTCGAGAAAGAAGTGACACACAACGTTACGTTGTTCAATTACGGGGACAGTACAAGTCGGAGAATTCTGCCAATGCAATCGTCCTTGTGCTTGTGCAAGTACGTAACAATCACGTTTCTACCCGATCAAATTGGACTTTTTTCAGGGATAAGAAATCTATCTAGCAACCAAATGGAGACAGAACAAAAAAGTCTGTTGTCCTGGATCGGGCGCGGGCTGACCTACGGATGGATGGAAATATTTAGCATGCTTCTAGTGCCTACAAGGTCAGGGTCTATCTAATCCAGCCCGTAGGAATAGAGCACACGGTGAGTGACCTGAGTAAGTGGGGTCTCCACTTATTTACCTTAGCACTTGCCATGCATGCTGTACAGTACCGGTGGAAGCCCAGGAAGCCCCAGTTTGCTTCCATTCCATCGTAGACGGTAGCCAGGTCCTAAAATGTCCCATCTGGCTTAGTTCCATGGCCTATCAACATTAAACACTCCGCAACTATTATTAAGAGGCGCCATGTAAGCTAGGTAAGCGAGGTTCCCTGCAGGAGGATCTAAGATTTTTCTTCTTTCTTTTCCTCCTTCTCTTCTTTCCCCTCTAGATTTACTAACTTAGTTCGTTAGTTGCTTTTGCTGCGGTATCTCTGTACCTTGATCTGGTCGGCATTTACTCTTCAGGTTCGGCAGATTCCTCCATGTGCTGATCGAGGATGCAGGTCATACGTTTTTCAGCACCACCTCTCGAAGCCAACTCGGTCTTAACCAGGATACAAAAAAGCAAATAGCAAAAGAACCTTGTCAAGTAGTGCCTGTCCTATTTCTCATCTGTCAATCGTGGTCTGCCCCCGATGTGCAAACACTGCTTGTTCACATGTGTGCTCTTCGCCTAATGTACTAAGGTATATCTGTACCCAGGTATGTATGTATGTACGTACCTACATATAGCGTATCCCCGATGCTAAACCCACACACAATGCATGTCAGCCCCAGATACAGCGAATAGAGCAAGAGAGATTTCCTCGAAATCGGATTCGGGTCAGAGATGGGCGATCTAAATGACAAGCATCGGATCTTGACATTCGTTTTGCTTGCCAGCTGCATGAGTTTGGCCTGATCTTGTGCGCAAACGAGAATTACTCGGCTTGACTGAGCTGTTGCACCGGTCCAAAGGACATGTACATGGAGCTAGATATGAAGTATCCTCTCTTCTCATCTCATCTCATCTCATCTCATGTGATGTGACAAGTGATGACTTTGTACTTCCGCTGTGCTGTGTTGTCTGTAGTGTACGAAGCTGTCATCAGTAGTCGTCTCCTCGTTTATTAAGCAGTTGCATAGCCCCACAAGTATTCCTTCAACGTTGTTTTATGTTTGCTTCTTCAATTGTCAATTTGATTTACCTTGTTGTTCGGTTCTGCACCTCGCAAGTCCACGGCTGATTCGGATTGTTTTGCTCAAGTAACAATCTAAGCCGAGGCTATCGACAACCCCTGTTTAATATCGAGTCAGGTTCGGGAATAGATGGGAGGCACAAGTGGAAACAGGGGACCCTCAGGAAAAAGAAACCCGTATGTCGTCCTGTAAAGGCAGAACGTTTGGACCTTGGATATTGTTCAATAATTAGAAACCTGTTGACACAGCCTAGTCCAGCCTGGCCCAGCTCAAACCATCCCGAATGCAGTTACATAGCCCTCCTTCGCTTCGAATCCGTGCCGTCAAAACCAACAGGAAAAAAAGTTCCAACGGTCGGGATCTAACGTTGGAGATATTAATCGTCGATTCAGTGCGCTAGGATTGGGATTGAGAATGCTACATGATGGGGTGGTCAGCCAATTACCAATGTTAAATGTCAAGCAACTGCCTGTTGTCTATTGGTGCAGGGCTTACTAGGCCCGATTACCGTACATGGACGCTGAAAGATGCTGTGACACAGACGGCAGAAACGTCCAATGTCGTCAGGGGTCAGATCTCGAACGCTGGAGGACAGAATCCCAGCGGACACGATCATGAGATCTCCACGATGCGGCGTAGCGTACGGCTGGAGCGAGAGACCAACCGGAACCATTGACAGTAAGCCCTCGCCCACCATCAGCCTCAAGTCGTGTGTCTCTTGCCAGAGCTAAGCCTTCCCCGGCAAGCTCATCACACACACTAAACAGCGACCATCGGGTTAGGCTTTAATGGCCCGGACTGGAAGATCTTAGGGTCAGGGCGTGCCAGACCAGAAGCCTAGAACATCCTTCGACTGCGACGAGGGCTTGCGAGGTGGCCTGATATCGATCGCACTATGAAACTTATTACACGGTACTTGGACTTGTCTACATGCAATGTAGTTCATACCTACCCAGACATGTAGTCAAGCTTGCTCCTTGACCACCAACAGGTAATAATAACGTAGCCACTCAGCCTCCGCGATAACGCCTCCCGGCTCGTTGCCTCTGTCTTGCAATTGCTTGCATCTGGGCTGTACCCAAACCGTACATTGCATCGTCAGCATGTATGTAATGAATGAATGAATGTGTGAGGTGCACTGAGCAAAGGAAAGGGGGTGCACGACTGATCGAGTTGAGTGCGATATTTGCATATCAGCTTTCACGGTTACACGGCCAACTCATCAGACATTCGTGGATCCCTACATATCCGTGATCCTAAGCGGTGGTGCAGTCTCCCATCAGGGATTGGGGTTTCATCAGCGTC